ACCATCGGTCATACGGCACAAAGTACAGCAAAGGAGGGAAAAAAGAGAGAGAGAATCACCACGAGGAAACCACATAATGCTAGTTTCTATCTAAGGTCATACATGGTCGTCTTCAATGAGTTGCTTCTTCCTCGAATGGCAAACAACGGTTACGGTAGAGTGCCGACAATATCATTAGCAACAAGGATGTATTTCGAATCATCCAAGCACCATTCCGAGCCTTGGATTTGGGATTCTCGTAGGTGAATATCTTGACAAGCCATCGAATTCCGAGCCACCCACTCCTCCAACTTGGCGATGAGTTAGAGATGTAGTTGGGCTAATCTTCCGGAGATTGGTAAAGAAGAGCAAGTCCTCGTTGTCAATCCCTCCAAAGGCATCCCAAATCTGCCATGGTTCTTGGTGACCATAAAGATCACAAAAAGGGACGAGTGGAATCGGTAAGGAGAGGAAAGCATTTGACCTTCTTGTAGAGATAATGGGTGACAAGATTACGGTCAAAAGGATGGAATGCGAAACCGATTGGAATCCCGGAAAAACCCACGGTGCTTTTGGATAATTCTTTATCCAAAGAACCCACAAAAACCATGGAAGAAGAAGAACGACCCATTGTTTTGTTCGATTATCAAGTGATAAAAAAAATACCGAAAACAAGAAAGAAAGAAACTTTTGGTTTGGATAAGGTAACAAGCCTAATAAGAGACGGAAAGAACCTCGATTTGAATCCGCGAGCAAACTCACCACTTTCAATTTGACTTGACAGAAAGAGTAATAAAATTCTAAAAGATGATGATGGTTGATAAAGACCCGAAAAAGAAATTGAGAGTATTAGACGGACGGAAATCAACCGAGAGAAATTCATCGAAGCCGAGAGAGCTCAAGATTAGAGGTTTCTTTAAATAAAAAGAGAAGGAAGGTAGGTTCTTGATTTTCCAACGAGCTGGTTTAAAAAGAAAATGCTGAAAATGGTATTATCCAACGTAGTGTGAGTCTTTTTCTTCTCCAATGGTATTAGTTAAAAACAAAGACAATTCATGGATCGATTTGCGTGGATTACACGAAGCTAAATCAGATGATTATCAAGTATCAATTTTTGATTCCTATCATTGAGGAACTTCTAGATGAATTACGAGGATCAATTATTTGTTCTAAACTTGACTTACGAGTAGGTTATCATCAAATCAAAATGTGTATTTCAAACATTCCTAAAATAGTTTTTCAAACACACAATGGTTAATATGAATACTTGGTTATGTCATTTGGTTTAACTACGAATGATATTTTTAGACCTTTTCTTTAAAAGTTCATTCTAATATATTTTTTAATGATATTTTAATCTTTAGTAAAACTTTAAAAGAGCATGTTCATCATTTGAAAATTACATTAAGTGTGTTGAGATAAAAATTCATGTTTGCTAAATATTCTAAATACACCTTTGGTGCTCCAAATGTGGAATATTTAGGACATTTCATGTCCGCGAAGTCGAAGGGGTCCAAATTGATCCTACGACAATTGAAGTGGTGTAGCGGTAGCCTAATCTAAAACAACTACGAATTTTTGTGGTCATATAGGTTATTATAGACGTTTTGTCAAGGTTTGTGGTAGAATACGGATCTACTCAAGAAGAATGGGTCTAAATGGAACTTTGCAATCGAAAAGGCATTTATGGAGTAAAAAAGATGGGAATACAATTAGACTTTCAACTCCAAATATGAATTTTTCTATCAATTTTCTTATGGATTACAAGTGATTACGGTAGTTATGCCGCTTTTGTCTTCGGTTCCTTCGAGGAATATGTGGGCGGGTACTCTTTTGTCATGGCGGGTCTATCATGCAAAGTGGCTATCTTAAATGCATTACTAAAGATGCTTCCCCTAATATTTATGGGTGGATTTGTGCTTGTGATAGCGTGTAACATACAAGTATTAGGAAGTGTAACAAGTTGTTGCAACCACGAACGACTTTCCTTAGATAGTATTTACTTGCAAAACTTTAGAGGTTCCGAGGATGAGCAGGATGTTTGTCCGTGTTTTCCATACCTTAAAGACATTGTGTCTCCCTCGTGTTGTGTATACCGATGGTTCCTCAATGTACAAGCTCTTTTCTAGCCGCCTCGTCCTTGAAAATATGTCTATAAGAAGAGAAGGATGGGATGGCGTACAAATTATGAACATTTCGGTGCTACCATTGAACAAATTGTCTATATTTTCAATATATGTATGTATGTGCAATCCCTAACAACTCTAACACTAATAGACCATCGTCCCTAATCCCAATTATCGAGTCCGTCTCAAAATCCTATCTTACGTGCATGACAATTTTGCATCCTCGGCTTTTGTTTATTAAAAAAGAGTCTAGCTGACTTTTGATAGAATTTGAGCTTGAACTTGAGTCTAAAATCTGGTTGCTTGTAGTATGATCCAATGTGCCGACCCACTACTTGTGTGAAGGTCATTGTTCTTTGAATTCAAGCATCAAACCCTTAATTTAGCAAATAAAAAATATTGCATAAAGTCACAAAATATTGTTGTAAACAATTACGGAATTAAGAATTTTGTTGATCCTAGCTTGTAAGAGGACACCGAATTTTTTTTAAATTTTCATCCTTGGATTGACTTATATATCGGTAATAAGGTGATTGGCCTCTCATAATACTCTGCTTAAGCCCTAATGCATTATATATATAGTTCTCACTAGTGCATTTTCTTTTCGGTTTTAATCAACCAATTCTACAAAACCTAATGAGTCAACACTTTGAAGTCTCATCTCCGAGTTACAAGAGGCGATTGCTTCTTCGCATAAAAGCTCTCGAACAACGAACGGAAATAATCATCATCAAGAGCCATTTCTTCTCCATTACCAACTATCCGATGTTGTCGAAGAGCACCATTAGAATCAAAAGGCTCGATTGATAGAATGTCATCGGCTACGAAGGAATAAGCATCATCGGTAAGTAACGGTTGATCTTCGGGTGCATCGGCGCCATCCAATGACCGATGCTCATCACCGTTGTTGTTTGTGGCCGCCTCTTGCTCGAGTTCCAATGGACCGATTGCATCATTGTCATGATCGGGAAGGAGGCCGTGTGGTGGGTTCACACTCATAGAAACAACTGTTGTTGACATTGCAAGCCGATCACCCGTGAAGCGCTTGTTATTTTTATCCATACCATCATCACCTTCTTCTTCATCATCCAACTGCCTCTTCCTCTTAGGTTGCTTCTTCCTTAAACGACAAACGACGATTACGAGTAGAGTGCCGACAATATCATTAGCAACAAGGTCTGTATTCGTGCATCATCCAAGCACCATTCCGAGCCTTGGATTTGGGATTCTTGTAGTTGAATATCTTGACAAGCCACTCGAATTCCAAGCCACCCACTCCGCTTGTTTCGTCTTTCATCATGCCATGTACCGTCGGATGATCCAACTAGGCGATTAGTTCGAGATGTAGTTGGGCTCATCTTCTTAAGATTGGTAAAGAAGAATAAGTTCTCGTTGTCAATCCCTCCAAAGGCATCCCAAATCTCCTATGGTTCTTGGTGGCCATAAAGATCACAAAAAGGGATAGTAGAATCGAAGGGAGAGGAAAGCCTTTGACCTTCTCGTAGAGATAATGGATGACAAGATCACGGTCGGAAAGGCTGAAATCCGAGACCAATTGGAATCCCGGAAAAACCCACGAGTGCTTCTTGGATAATTCTTCATCCAAAGAACCCACAATAACCATGGAAGAAGAAGAACAAGCCATTGTTTTGTTCGATGATGAATTGATAACAAAAAAATCAAAATCTAAAAGAAAAAAGCTGAAAACAAGAAAAACGAAACTTTTGGTTTGGATAAGGTAATAAACCCGATAAGAAACGGAAAGAACCTCAATTTGAATCCACAATGGCAAACTCGTCACTTTCAATTTGACTTCACAGATTACGAGAGATGATGATGGTTGATAAAGACGTAAAAAAGAAATTAAGAGTATTATATGGAGAGAAATCGACCGAGAAATTTATCAAAATTGAGAGAGTTCAAGAGTAGGGGTTTCTTTAAATAAGAAGAGAAGGAAGGTAGGTTCTTAATTTTCCAATAGCTAGTTTATTTGGCGGCGGAGGGCTTCTCACCTAAATTACTAACCTACCCTCAAAATTATGCGATTTTTTATGCTTTTCGCTATTTCTTTTTCTCTTCATTAGTAATAATCTGCCCTCATTAGTAATTAAGCATTTCTAATTCTACGCGACAGATTTTCTACGCGTTTCTGTTATGATTTTGCATGCTGCCTTTCGGAATTTGAGTCCTGTAAAACAACCTGCTCGCTGGAGATGAAGTAGAAAATCTGCAAAGTAAGCTGCAAAACAAGAGAAGCTAATTTCGATTCTGGTTTGCTAGCTGAAAAGGGTGGACCATTTCTGATTGGTCTGATACAAAAAACTTGCCCATCTCCAAGAAACCCATGGGTAAGTCTTCGTTTATGGAAAGCATGAAGCTTGATGGGATCATTTCTGTTATTTTGCATAATGTGAAGCACGAAATGTCATGTTGCTGAGAGGCGATTTAGTTTTGATTTTACATACGCAGGTGTGTAAATTGATTCGCTTATCAAGTTGTCACCTGTAAAAATAGGCATCAACAAAGATATTCAAGCTCCGGCATCAAGTGAGATCGAGTAAAAACTTTATAGTTCCTGGCATATTTTGAGTTGTTCATGTCAGACTTTGTTTTGCACTAATACATTGATGTTCCTTATTGCTATCAATTGCAGGTAGATGTAGAATGCGTGGAACCCATTTGCCATTGGACTAATTATTCCTCTATGTTTAGGGTTTTCCTTTTTTTTACTAAAGAAAATGGGATGTTCAATTATGGAAATTTAAGCTCAAGAATTATGTTTTGCGTATTTTTCATTTTTTACTAAGAAACTTTGGCTATTAGGCCCTATTGCTAAAATTCAATAAAATTTGTTCAAGGAGGCTTTCAAATCCTGCCGAAGACTCCTTGAAAAGCCTTGAGGAGGCCAGTAAAACTACAATATCCCACAATAACTGCTTTTAGAGGAAAGAGTTGTTCCGAAGACCATGATAATAGTAAAAATGCTAAAAGTGATTATGTTTTTAAAAAATGATAATAATAATGATAGAAATAATATATTTTTTTAAAAAATAATTTCATCACCACTATAGGAGATGGTAATAAAAAAAAAATGATAGTGGTGACATAATAAACAGATTAGATTCAACAAAAAAAAAAAAAAAAATTCAAACGAATGCATCAAATTCAAAAAACAAACAAATGCATCAAATTATATATATATATATATCAAATGAATGCACTAGATTAAACAAACAAAATGCAATACCAAAAAGAAAAGGAAAAAAACCGTAATTGGATAGGCAGCAATATATATATCAAATGAATGCACTAGATTAAACAAACAAAATGCAATACCAAAAAGAAAAGGAAAAAACCGTAATTGGATATGCACTAGTTTCCAAGAAGCCCTTCATTGCAAGATCCCCATGCCATCTTTAATTATATAATTCTTCAACTTCTTCTTCCTTTCTTCAATAAATATTTGAAACTAGGGAAAAAAGAACTCAGTTTTGATATGATGGGGTTTGTGAAAAAATGGATGGAAATATATAGAGGCCAGTCTATGCTTGTAGAATCGGGTCGTCTTCTTTCATAGGTTATCCAAAACTAATCCGATTACGATGAGAATTAACTAATCCCAGTACGCGACGTCTTCTTCTTTTCTTTCACGGTTTCTTAATTCTCAAGTCTAATAAAATTGCAAACCAGATTCTTAATACACAGCTCAAAACCCTTTTCTTTTTATGAACTCTATATCAACACTAGGGATACACCAGTACTCTCATTTCTATAATTAAGGGTAAAACTTTTTCTAATTTAATTTGTGGTTCAAATTTTACTCAATCCATAATGCCAAATTACAGCTATAGTTAGTCCAGTTCGTGAGAAGTGTAAAGATAAATCTTTTGCTTCACTATGACAACTAAAAAAGGGGAAAACTTATTTTTCCTACTGCATATCCCAAGGTCGATTTGATCTTTTATTAAATAAAAAAATGATATGATCTTTTAATCTTTCATAGAACTATATAGAACTATACATATGTAAAACCTAAAAAATTTATATTAAGTATATGCTTCTCATGAAGTGAGTTATTCTTCCTTCCCAATGGAAAGAGTATTTTTAAGCCAACTTACATGTCAATCATTTTCAAACGATTTTAAGGATGCACCTTTTATATAGTCAGATAGGTTTAAAAGAATTTATTAAATTTTTCTACATGATGATTCTAAGATTTGAACCAAGAAAGTTAGAAATAGAGCAAACCTCTGTAACCGCTAATAGTTTTATTATTAAAATTTATTTAGGAAAGGAAAATGTTAATTACATATTAAGTAGTTTGATTACACAATCTCAAAGGGTTGGTCTATGGATAAAGAAGTTTGCTCGTTTTTTAAATTCAAACTTTAAACCCAATTTATTAAATTATTTTAAATGCATCAAGATAATGTTAGAGAGTGCGTTCTTAAAATTATCAATGAAAAAAATTAATCTCAATTGATATATAAAATATTTCAAAAATATCGTTACGGTTGAGGAAAAAAAAGTTTAATCACAACAATTTAATTTTTTATTGGTATTCGTAAGCTCTCATATTGCTGGAGATTTCGGCCCAAGTGAAAAAAGACCTTCAATTGCTTGGGCAGCCGATGGTAAGCTCTCACATTACTGGCCTAGTTAGCATCTCGGTTTTATTTGAGAAGTGATATAGGTATGGTGGCCCATCTACGGCCTCCTTCATTTCTGCGGGCTGAAATATTTTTTTAAACAATAGTTGCAGAAAAGCCCTAAAAGAGGTGGGGTTTTCCTAGCAAGTTTGTTTGTTTGTTTTTTTTTTTTTTTTAATGATACGGGTTTTTCTAACATGTGTTTTAGGACACGTGCTAATTGATACTATAATTGGAAAGTTTAACTAATTAATAAATTTAATTCCGTAATTGATTAATATGCCAATTTGAATAACTTCCCTAAAACCCGAAAATCTAATTTCAATTTTCTTTTTCTGAGCCTGGACTTCGGAGATAAAGAAAATAAAAAATGAGCTACTCCTCCATGTGCCTAAAATATAAACTTTAACAAGATTTTGAGTACCAATAACAAGGGGACAGGTTTGGAGCTGTTAATAAAAAATAATTTTTTTGTGTTTATAATTTCTCTTAATTTTTGAATTTTATTGTCAATTTTTAAATTTGGAGATTTTGTTATTTGATTAGAAATTCATGTTAGGGGTTTAAAATTAGGACTAATTGAGTTCAATTAGGTTTCAATTTAGGGTTTTAAACCTAGAATTAAACTCAATTGAATTGGATTAAAAACCTAAGTTTTTTAAAAACTTTTAAAAAATCAATTTGAGAATTTTGAAAAATTAGAACAATCATTTTAATTTAGAGGTTCGACGATTATTTTAATATGATGTCATGAGAAAAAATAAAAATTTAATTTTCGAAATTTCGAAAGAGGCTGCAAGCGGAGAGGATTGTGGCAATAAAGAGGCTACAGGAAGTTTGCAGGAGTAGGGGCCGTGCAGGGCAACTTAGGGAGAAACGAATTGTCTAGAGGATAAATTGGGTGTGGCAAGAGTTATGGACAAAAGGTTGAATGCCTGCAATCTGAAGTTTAAAACTGAAATTGGGAACAAAATTGGTTTTAGGAAAAACAGATTGACTAATTAAATAACATGTATTGGTGTGGCAATATATATATATATATTGTTTTTGGTCTTTCATAACATGTATTTCTTGACTAATTAATTTTTTTAAAATAAATTAGCCATTGAATTTCTATTTTGATTATTTATATTTAACTATATATGAGAATTATAATAAAATTTAATATTTACATCGACTTAATATTTTTTTTGTTGAATATTAACTATAAAATATTACTTATAAATACAAAAAAATTATTTATTTATTATTATTTTTGGAGAGCAAGGGCGATATTCTGAAGTGTATTAATATAAAAGTGAAAGACTACAAGAGAGGACGATCCAACCTAGCCCATTATATTAATGTGAAACAAAGAAGGACAAGAGAAAGTAATTAATTTTTGTTTTTGTAATATTAAAATTAAAAAATTTTTAGCTCATTTTTCTGCTTTTTTTCCACATGATATTAATGTGATATAACATGACATGTGGTAATTTTTTGTCAAATGTCATTTTTTATTAAAAAATTAGTCAAAAAATAATCGAAGAAGCAACAATAAAAAAATAAAAAAAATAAAAGAACATTTGATGAGATTAACCCTTTTGAAGTGTGGATGATCTAGTCCTAAAAATTTCAATAACTTGATAATAAAATAAACAAATGCTTTAACAATCCTGAAAAATTAAGATTTAGTGTTATAGATTTTGTTACATTAGTATTAAGGATTTCAATTAGCTTTTACCAAAGAGTTAGGGATTTTGATTTTTTTTTTTTAATTTGAATTTGAGACTTTTTTTATTATTTTACTTTTACTTGAAAGAATACTTAATTAATTTTACATATCGTCCTTCTAATGGTTATATATTTTTTTTATATGCATCTAATAGTTTCTTAGATTAGCAAACCCTACATAAAAAAGTAATTACATAAAAAAAAATTAAAAATCCAAATAAGAATAAAAATAATTTTTATTTGTATTTATTAAAATTTAAATTCATGTTATTTTAAAATATTATCCTCTTTTTATTGAAAACATGTATTAATTAATTATCTTTTTTACTTATATATATATATATAGGTGTAGGGATTTAAAGGTTTCTCACCAGTTATCATTTGTTTAGGGCCGGCTCTCTGTCTTCTCTCAAAGACCCACCCTGCCGCTGCTAACCCAGCTCTCTTTCGAAACCCTAACTCTCTGTTTGTTAATGGCACCAAAACGCCCGCCTCCCGTTGAAGATCCACCCTCTTCTTCTAGCTCTGAGGAGGAAGAAGAGGAAGAAACTTCCAGTGGTGAAGAGGAAGAGTTATCTGACGATGAACAAAATCAACCCTCTCCTCATCAACCACAAACGAAAACCACTCGAACCCAAAAGTCAACCCCCAAAAATCCCGAACCCTCGACTCAACAATCTGAATCTGAGTCCAAATCAGAATCTGGGTCGGATAACGATGTGGGAGAGGACAGAATGGAAGGTGAGATGGAGAGAGATTCAAGTGCCAAAAAGGTTTCGGAGTTACACAACAGTGTGAGTGTTGCAAGCATGGATGATTACGTTGTGAGGAGGGGATTGGATTTTGTGCATGGGAGGAAGAAGGCGGAGATGAAGGAGAAGTGGAGGAAGTTGCGGGTAGCTGAATTGGAGTTCTTTTTGAAGCGGCAAGAATTGATAGAAGAACAAGCAAAGTTAATGCTGTCAGCTTTTAAATCTCGAAGGTACATGTAGGGGTTATATTCATAATTCTGTTTTCAGTAATTTTATGCTTTATTTCCCATTTAGCTGATATTTTGTCATTTATTTCTTCTTTTTGTAGTTATTTTGTGTTTGATTAGTGGATTTCTTATAATTTTTGGAATCAAATTCATAGGTGCCCTTAACAGCCTTTCTTTATGGTTTATTAAGAAATAACTGGTGTCATCACTGGTTATGGGAAATTCATCTTCACACTCTGAAGAGTTTACTATATATTGTATTTGCAGAAAGAACTTCCATAAAAGTATATTGTTTAAATTTATATATCAAGGAAACATTCTCTCGTAGTCAATATATCCTTGAAAATAAGTTTGGCAGATGATGGAAACTAATGACTTCAGTGGATAATTTTTTAGATGTCTTTTTTTCTTTTGGCATATCTGCCTTATGTTGAATGATGTCCACACCACGTGGGTTAATGATGCTGAGCAATATGAGTCTTAAAGATGGTTTGGTGAAGGTGGCATGTTCCAGCATATGGTATTGCCAATTAGTTCATTGCCAAAGTTGTTTCGATTTTCTATAGGGAAAAATGAGAATAATGAAGGATATATTGTTTAATCGCAGTCCTCACTAAATTTTATGAATCTATGCTCACTGAGTTTTGCCACATTATATTGTATTTGCAGAAAGAACTTTCATAAAAGTATGTTGTTTAAATTTATATATCAAGGAAACATCCTCTCGTAGTCAATATATCCTTGAAAATAAGTTTGGCAGATGATGGAAACGAATGGCTTCAGGTGAATCGATGGATAACTTTTGAGATGTCCTCACTAAATTTGATGAATGCATGCTCACTGAGTTTTGCCACATTAATGCAGAAAAGAAAAATACTAGAATCTGTAAGCTCAGATCTCTTACTCTAAATGAGAAAAAGCTAAGGGAAAAAATGAAGTTACATTTGAATTTTAGAGCTCCAAATGAGTATATATATATATAGCACATGAGTGATGAGCCTTGCTGTAGAAAGAAATCATTCCCTCATAAAGGCTTTTTCTTTTATGATATTGTTAATGATATAATCGGATAATCAAAGTACTAGTAGTACTTTAAGGAAGGATATCCACTACAGGAGCAAATCAGAAAATTTCCCACTTGAGGTTTTCATCATATTTGACAGTTAGAAAGGAGCAAATTCTAAATCTCACAGGAGCCAAAAAGGCTACAAAACCTCTCAGGCTGAGAGCACCCATAGGTCAACATTTCCAAATGCCTTCAACATACCAAATCCAAGCAAGTCTGCCTGTTTTGTCGTCGCCTGTCCTGTTCTTAGCCCCTACTAAGTCTTTCGATCCTGAAAACCCTAATAAATCCTCAAGGAAAACTCCTTCCAAAGTCTTAGCTCTGATAAAACACCTGAAGGATGAAAACTCAACCAGTAAATTAGTAGTTTTTTAACTATTCGATAAGATGTTGGTATTACTGGAAGAGCCACTGAAAGACGCTGGCTTCAAATCTTCAATACCTTGCGATTGGATGCATCAACAGATGTAAGGAGAACTGCTGAAATGATCAAAGAATTTGGTGCAACAGGACCAGACACAATTTTGCTTGCAAGTCTTAAGAGTCTAGGAGGTAGCATAAACATGACAGTTGCTTCCGAAGTCTACTTTTTGGAGCCATGGTGGAGCTCAGAAGTTGAGGAACAGGCAATAGACCATGTTCCCCAATATGGACAGCAAGAGGATGTAGAGATTATTAGATTGATTGCTGAAAATACCATTGAAGAAAGGATATTGGAGATGCAGAAGAAGAAACTAGAAAATGAAGCTTCTTGAAGGCAAGGACCAAAGGAACGACGCGAGGTGAGCATAGCTGACCTCTGTGGAGTTTTTTGTCTTTTTTTCTTTTTTTCCCCCAGAGAAACTCTTTCCATTTTATGATTGTAAAGCGGAAAAAAAATCTGCAATGTGGGTAGAACAGCTCGCTCTTAAGTCCTAAGATCTGAAGATGGCTTCATATAGCCAATCAGCCTCTTCTTAAAACAAATCAATCCAAAGTTAAGAACCTTAAAAGTTCAATGACCACTTAAAGATCAAAAAATGAAATCTAAATTTAGCAGCAGCAACCAAATTACAAAGGCTGAGATCATTCAAAATTCAAAAAGAAACAAATTATGATACTTCACTCCAACAATGGCTCACTTCTCAGTCAGAGTAATCACATGAATTTTACAAGAACATATTACATTTGATATATAGCAACAAGAGCATCATCAAAAACACCATTTAACAAGCAATATCAAATCGCAATAAAACAGAAAAAAGAGAAGGCAAATATTCCAGAAAAAGTACGATTTTTTCTTAGAAATGATACCACAGTAATTTCAAACCTAGTCTGAATATGAAGGGCCAAGACAAATATTTCTTAGAACTGATAGTTTGATATCCCTGCTACCCCTTCAAAGATGACGCACAAAATTACTACAAAGTCTAAAACATTAAATTCAGAAAATAACTTCACAAGTACTAGAATCTCTTGGGAACTTCGATATCTCATCCTAAGCAACTCCAGCTCCTTTCTCTTCTTTGGCGTAGCAAATATTCTATAATATATTTACCTCGCCACGCCAGGCATTCCCACAAAGGAGATGATTTCAATTGTCTTCAGACTAAAGATCAAACAATCAGGTCTTCCTTTGGCTGATGCCAATAGAACCCAAAACGTCATCCTTTGGTTAATATAGTCACCAACATATAACACATAAGATTATCGAATTTCAGTAGGATGGAATCACAAACAACAACATAAAGAGACTATACGAAAATAACCAATGGTAATGCAAATTAAATTCAATACATTGATAGGAGTAATGTTCACATGCATACCAATATAGCATCACCAGATAGAGTTTCTATTGAGAAGCCTAGACAAGCATTTACTATAAATATGTGATTCAACTAAAAAGGCCAAAACACTCATGGAGTAATCAATTTGTGTGTGTGTGTTTTTTTTTTTTTTTACTATTAAAATTATATTTTTTTCAGCTCATTTTTTTGATTTTATTTTTTTTTCCACATGATATTAATGTGACACATCATGTCATGTGGTAATTTTTTGGTTAGATGCCATTTTTTATCGAAAAATTAGTCAAAAAATAATCAAAGAGGCAATATTAAGAAAATAAATAGAAGAACATTTGATGTGATTAACCCTTTTGAAGTGTCGATGATCGAGTTCTAAATATTTAAATAACTTAATAATTAAATAAACAAATCCTTTTAACAATCGTGGAAAATTAAAATTTTGTGTTATAGATTTTGTTACATTAGTATTAAGGATTTCAATTAGATTTTACCAAAGAGTTAGGGTTTTTTATTATTTTTTTTTTAATTTGAATTTGGGGCTTTTTTTATTCTTTTACTTTTTACTTAAAAGAGTATTTAATTTTACATGTCGTTCTTCTAATGGTTGTGTTTTTTTATATGCATTTAATACCATTTTAGATCAGCAAACCCTAATAAAAAAATTAATTACATAAAAAAATTAAAAATACAAATCAGAATAAAAATACTTTTTCTTTGTATTTATTAACATTTAAATTCAATTTATTTTAAAATATTATCCTCTTTTTATTGAAAACATGTATTAATTAATTATCTGTTTTACTTATATATATATATCCAAATCAGAATAAAAATACTTTTTATTTGTATTTATTAAAATTAAAATTTATGATATTTTAAAATATTATTCTCTTTTTATTGAAAACATGTATTAATTAATGATCTTTTTACTTTATATATATATATATATATAGGGTCTAGGGATTTAAAGGTTTCTCACTAGTTATTATATATATATAGGGTCTAGGAATTTAAAGGTTTCTCACTAGTTATTATTTGTTTAGGGCCGGCTCTCTGTCTTCTCTCAAAGACTCACCCTGCTGCTGCTAATCAAACTCTCTTTCGAAACCCTAACTCTCTGTTTCTTAATGGCACCAAAACGCCCCCCTCCCGTTGAAGATCCACCCTCTTCTTATAGCTCTAACGAAGAAGAAGAGGAAGAAACTTCCAGTGGTGAAGAGGAAGGGATATCTGATGATGAACAAAATCAACCCTCTCCTCATCAACCACAAACGAAAACCACTCGAACCCAAAAGTCAACCCCTAAAAATCCCGAACACTCGACTCAACAATCTGATTCTGCGTCCAAATCGGAATCAGGGTCGGATAATGATGTGCGAGAGGACAGAATGGAAGGTGAGATGGAGAGAGATTCAAGTGTCCAAAAGGATTCGGAGTTTTATAAAAGAATGGATGATTATGTTGCGAGGAGGGGATTGGATTTTGTGCATGGGAGGAAGAAGGCGGAGATGAAGGAGAAGTGGAGAGAGTTGCGGGTAGCTGAGTTGGAGTTCTTTTTGAAGCGGCAAGAATTGATGGCAGAACAAGCAAAGTTAATGCTGTCAGCTTTTAAATCTCGAAGGTACATGTAGGGGTTATATTCATAAGTCTGTTTTCAGTAATGTTATGCTTTATTTCTCATTTAGCAGATATTTTGTCATTTATTTCTTATTTTTGTAGTTATTTTGTGTTTGATTAGTGGATTTTCTTATAATTTTTGGAATCAAATTCATAGGTGCCCTTAACAGCCTTTCTTTATGGTTTATTAAGAAATAACTGGTGTCATCACTGGTTATGGGAAATTCATCTTCACTCTCTGAAGAGTTTACCCAAATTATGAATATATACTGTATTTGCAGAAAGAACTTCCATAAAAGTATGTTGTTTAAATTTATATATCAAGTAAACATCCTCTCGTAGTCAATATATCCTTGAAAATAAGTGGAATCGGTGGATAACTTTTGAGATGTCCTCACTAAATTTTTTGAATGCATGCTCACTGAGTTTTGCCACATTAATGCAGAAAAGAAAAATACTAGAATCCGTAAGCTCAGATCTCTTGCTCCAAATGAGAAACAGCGAAGGTTAAAAAATGAAGTTACATTTGAATTTTAGAGCTCCAAATGAGTATTATATATATATAGCACATGAGTGATGAGTCTTGCTGTAGAAAGACGTCATTCCCTCATAAAGGCTTTTTCTTTTATGACATTGTTAATGACATAATCAGATAATCAAAGTACTTTAAGGAAGGATATCCACTACAGGAGCAAAACAGAAAATTTCCCACTAGAGGTTTTCATCATATTTGACAATTAGAAACCTCACTTACCTGGTACAAATTACTTACCATAATAAGTGAAAAAACCAAGTAATTGACTGATGTCAAGCCTCTGAAAAGATCAAAAGATATATATAACACAAGTGCTTCAAGCTAGGAAAGGATGATGTTTTCTGAGAATTTGTAAGAAAGATACACAGCGAACTTCGAACCTAGTCTAGGAAAAGAAGGGCAAAAACATACACGTGCCAGAGAATGGGACTTTCGAACCTCACCAACCATTTTTTTTTTCACATTCTTGCCCTTCTAGCTTATTTTCTTGTAGCCAAATCTCCTTCTCATTCCTGCAAGTCAATGCTAATATGAGAATCCTAAAAATTCAGTCTCTACTAGCAAGGATAAACAGAGCAAATTGTAAAGCAATAAGCGATACAAAACCAGAGGCTGAAAGTGACTTGACGGTCAAAACAGAGGAGTTCAGATATTTTACACAAACAATCAAATAAATTTATCTACAACTGCAGTAATACGAATTTTCTACTAGCACATATCACCACTGTAACTACAATAGCAAAATGGAAGGCAAATATTTCCACATCATACATTTACCAGAAAATGAGGCAGTAGAACCTCTTGGGAAGCCTAATATCTCATTCCTAAAAGCCTCTAGCTTCTTCTGCATTCTTGGCCTTCCAAAAAATTTGCAACCTCGGATTATCATCTCCTCCAAAACTTCGGCAGACTCTAGCAAATATTCTACAATATATTTCTCGCCAGACATTCCCACGAAGTTATTAATTTCAATTGTCTTCAGACTTGAGAGCAAACACTTGGCTGGAAATACGAGAATTTCAGGATTAGGAGAGCTCTCAAGCAAGTCTGGCAGGGATTCCCAGTTTATAAACTCACCAACATATAGCTCTAGTTTGGTAAGATAATGGAATGTGGGCAGAATAGAATCACAAACAACAGCATTGACAGACTACAAAAAACGAAAGCATTGATGGTATAGAGTCCATGATGACATTGTAGGGAAAAAGAAAACAGCAATCAATGATATTCAACGTCAAGCAAAATATAGCCATTCAGAATATGAACCAAGCATACAGACATAGTATCGCCAGATGGTACTAAAAGCTCCACTTGGGAGATTCCATTAAGAAGCCAAGGTAGGCAATTATCATAAATATGTGCTTAGAATAGAGCGGATGAAACACTCATGGAAGAATCACACTGTGAAGTGTCTTTGATTTGGAAATACTCAAGACATGGGGTATCAATCTCAGTCTTGTGCTTATGATCCTCCAAGAAATGCATTTCTGAAAATATAGACAATCTTTTCAATGATGGCACAGAAATATTCATAATTCACGCACCATCCCATCCATCTCTTCTCATAGCTAAGTTTTCAAGGACAGGGCAGCTAGAAAAGAGCCTGTGCATTGAAGCATCATCGACATACACAACATGAGCAACACCAAGGGTCTCAAGGCATGGAAAAAATATATTCATAGGCAAATCTAGGACAAACGCCCTGTTAAGTCTTAAAACAACCAAAGTTTTGCAAGTAAAAATTCTCCAAGGCAGATGTTGAAGATTGCAAGAACTACTTTCAATTATTAATTCTTGCGCGTTACAAGCTGTCACGGCACATAAATATATGGGGAAACATCTTCAGTAAAGCATTCGAATACGCATATTCGTATAATTCCCCCTACATGATAAAAGAGTACCCGATCTACATAATCCTTGAAGGACCTGAAAACTGTTGCATTATTACTATTGTCTCTTGCAATATTATAAGAAAATTGATCAGAAAAATCCAGATTTGGGGTTATTGTCCAAATGGACTCTCATCTTTTGGATAGAATGTGGTGGAAACTGCATGTTTTGTTGTAAGAAATGAGATCATGTGAGAAATAACTTCAACGGGCAACTTGCTGATCCTATCCACATTGTCACCAATATTGGCAGATTTCTTATGGAGTGGCAAGCTTATGTCCATGTATTCTGCTGTGGACGCAAAACAGAGTAAAACATTAAAGCTTTTAAATTTAAGAAACAGAAGCTAGAAGAAACTTAAAAACCATCAAACGGAGAAACTTTAGGCGGTTTACAATCCATTCTGTATCAGGGTAAGCATAGAATGTTATGCCACAAAATGAAAAAAAAAAAAAAAAAAAAAAAAACCACAAAATACAAAGAGCTTTAGTTAAAAGGACAATGCCTTCAAATTTCATTTCTTACAGTAATTAAGGAAATTATATCACTACAAATTTAAAGTTTGCTGATGTATCTCTTAATGGGACAACTCAATCTGATAGCACCTTTTGCAATGAGTTCAAGCGCCTATAGTGCTTTCTACGCGGCTTCAGCAATGCTTTCCCCAAGAAGGTAGAAGACACTACTTTTTTGGGACTTCAGTCCCAGCATTCTAATTCAATTTTATTCGATAATGCAATTACCTAATTCCAGAATTCGTATGGTGTGTTTTCAGAATTCAGTGAATAAATCGTCAAAACCACACTAAATTCTAGGGAATTGGCATCACAATTGTCACAAGATTTGCAATGCCTTTCGATTTAGGACTACAATGCTTTTCACAGAATGTTCTATTAAAGTTTATACACAACTTTCTCAATACCACTCAACAGTTTCATGACTTTACACAAATGATTGCCTTAGCATGAAGCTAGACATAAAAATCAAATCATAAAGACTTGAGCACTTCTGAAGTACTAGAGTTCTTCTTGTATAAGGTTAAAACCATTGGAATAAAAGTTGCCTTTGCCTCAAACTAGACATAATAACACTATGAACCAACATTCCACAGTTGTTCCGGAAAAAAAAAAAAACAAAAAAAAAACAGCACATACAATTTGTTTGTGTGAAAGATAGGGTTGTGAGAAGAACCTGATAATTAGTGTCAAAGTTTTTAAATTTTGTTGTACTTTAGTTCTTTTTACTCTTTTTTGATTGATTTTGATTTTTCATTTTAAGAAATAGAAAAAATAAAAAAATATGAAAAGATTGATGAGAAAATAAGATTGTGAAATAAAATAATATTAAATTAAACATAATAAACAATGAATAGAAGATTAAATAATAGTTTTTGAAAAAAAACTAATTAATTTGTTTTTTGAAACTAAAGGGACTAATTTATAATTTACTCTATGTAACACCCATAACTCTATGGTACACCATTTGCTCATATTAATTGTTAATTTGTTATTTGTTATTTTTTATTTTTAAGTTATTATTTTAATTTTGTTAATTTTTTAGTTGTTATTTTCAAATTTAATTAATATTTGAATTAGGATTAATGTAATTCGTTAGGATTAATTTAATTATTGTTATTTTTATTGATTGATTTTTAATATAATTATACTCCAATTGGTTTAATTGATATTTAAATTTTAATTAGCATTTGAATTAAATTAAAGCCATAACATTCAAAAAGTAACAAGAAACAAGCGTTCCATTGGACTGAAAGCTATTTATAGATCTTAAATTTTCATTAATTTATTTTATATGTAACTCTAGTACATGGTGCACAATCTGTTTGTATTAAAAAATATTTTTTTTTCAAAATAAAATGAAATACATATCGAAAATAATACACCATTGACAGTTACATATTTCCACTAATAATTTTATTAAGTTTTTTTTTATTCTTATAATTTCATAGTAATAATCTAGCAATTAATGAGTTATTTTTGTATCCCAATTTCAAAAAAAAAAAAAAATTCGGACACACAAATAATAATACACGATGCACAAACATTTTTTTTTCAATAAAGTTACACTTGAAATCTTTTAAGTGGAACATGCCTGGTTACTGAAACATAATCAATGATCTAGGCCTTTATAAAAAAATATTTTGGCCCAATTAGCATATCTATAAACAAGCACTAGATGACTAATGTTGGGCTAAAACCCTAGTCCATGTCCAATGTTAAATGTGAGCTTCACATAAGTGTCCTATTACTTTTATAAAAATAATTTCATTACCTTAATTTAATCAATCATTAATTAAGAATAAAAATCCTAAAATATGATAAAAAACTTACATTATAAAAATTCATTTAATTATTAAAATAAATTACCTTAGATTAAGTTAAACTAGTTTATGTCTTTAATTTTTCTCAAATTAACTACTAGATTTTGGATTTATTTAAAATATTCATTATATATAAGAAATAATCAAATTGGCCTAATCTATTAAATTCCTAAATTTTTCTTTTTTGAGGCCACTCACAAGAGATAAGATGGCTCTTTGATCGATTTACGCATCCAATATACAATGGTAAGTGTTTTTAATTGTTAAATTTTATACATGCAAATATAATCTAAAAAATTATTTAATCATTTAACATTATAATTATTTTGATTACGCGAGAGCATGTTGACGATCTCATACGAGAAGCTACCGTGAAACAACAGGAGGAAGGAATCCCGAATCCACAAATGGACAAGAACGCCATATATCCATCGAGACTATAGGAGAGAGGAAGAGAAGGCTATATGGTGTAGGCACATAAGCGTCACATTATCTATTCTAGTCGGTGGTGCTAGCTCATCTTCCATGTCATTGCATTATACCGCCGACATTTCTTATGAGGACATTCGGAGGGCGTACGAAGAGGTGGTGTAGGGAATATACTCCAAACAAGATGAGCTGAAAAACATTGTCATACAACGAACGAGTACCATACAAGGATCTGCAGTCTCGGCATGAGTCGCTTGCCTAGATGTTGAATAGACCGGCATTAAAGTTCGAGTTGCCTATAGATTCGCCCACCAGCTCAAGACTATACCGTCCTTCCTACCAAGCCGTCTGAAGAGGAGCCCCAAAAGTAGGAGAGGGGATTAGATGATCGGGAGTGACATTTTTTTTTTTAATTTGTTTTTCTTTTTTCTTACGTACTAATGAATATTTTTTTAATATTAATTTAAATTTAATTTATAATATTTAAATTTTAATAATATGTTTTTTGTTCTAATTCTTAATTACTACCGAGAATATCACAAATTTAAAAACTAAAATAAATAAATAAATAAATTTATCAATTAAAAAAAAAGAGTAAACTTGGTAGGGGATTAACATTGGAATTTTTTGTATTTAACAATGAAAAATGTGACGTAATAGTGACGCATTATTAGGTGTGAAGACGTTTTCGGTGACCAATTAGCAATAGAAAAACTGTCTCTACATTAGCGTCAAATTATGTTCGTCTCGTTGCAAGGGTTAGTGACAAACGTTTTAGCAAAGGATTTTTTTCGATCGTAAATTTGTCACTAAAAGCATTTAGCAATGGAATTTCCCTTTATAGCGACAGATTTTTCCGTCGCTAACTACCATTGTTCTTGTAGTGCATTCTCATCTTTTTTCAAAATTGTTTGGGCCTCGGACATTCGGATAGTAATTGGATAGAAACCGTAACATGGGGAATATTCACAATCTCCGAACAACTCTTTCCCCTTAAAGTAGTTGTGGGATATAGTAGTTTTTCTCGGTCTCCTAATAACGCTAAGCTAGCATGGCTTTTCAAGGAGTCTTCGACAAGATTTGAAAGCCTCATTGAACAAATTTTATTAAATTTTAGCAATAGAGATAGTAGGACCTAATAGCCAAAGTTCCTCGGTAAAAAATGAAAAATATGCAAAACATAATCCTTGTGCTTAAATTTCCATAATTGAACAAAGAGGAATAATTAGTCCAATGGCAAATGGGTTTCACACATTCTACATCCACCTACGAATGACAAAAATGAGGAACGTCAATGAAGTAGTGTAAAAGAAAGTCTAACATGGATAACTCAAAATATGCTAGGAACTATAAATTTTTTACTCAATCTCACATGATGACAGAACTTGAACATCGTTGTTGATCCTTATTTTTACCGTTAATTTACACACCTATGTATGTAAAATCAAAACTCGAATCAACTCTCAACAACATGACATTTCTTGCTTCACATTATGCAAAATACACATAAATGATCCCATCGAGCTTCATGCTTTTCATAAACGAAGGCTTACATATGAGTCTCTTAGAAATGGGCATGTTTTTTTATCGGACCAATCGAACCAAGGTGTACCATTTTCATCATCATTGTTTCTTTATATTTACAAATTATTTTTTTCCTATCTTAAGCTCATCCCTCACGACTAGAATAATACAAATTAGCGATGGCCTAAACCATCGCTAATTCCCTCAAAACCATCACTAATTTTCATTAGCGTTGGTTTTGCGATGATCTAAAAACCATCCATAAAATGCTTATCGCTAATATTTTGTGACGATTTTTTGGACCGTCGCTAATTTTGTAATGGTTTAGCAACGAAAAAAACCATCACAAATGAAAAAAACTATCACAAAAGAAGGAGAAATTATGATGGAATTAGCAACGAGTATCTAAAAATGTTGCTAATTTGCGATGGTTTTAGAAACCATCGCAATTTTACCGAATTAGTGATGGTTATAACCATCGCTAATTCCATCACTAATAATAATTTATTTCCAAATTATTTTTTAATTTTACCCACATTTAAAATATTTTAAATTAACTAATTTAAAAATCTAAAAAAACCTAAAAATATTATTTAAAAATTTCATAATATTTGTTATAAATTTTCTTAAAATGTACTAAATACTTAATTATTAAATTCTCATAAAATGTAGAAATTTTGTTGTTATTACAAGACAACATGAAAGCTCGGAGAGATCAATAGGGTCGTCACTTAGAGGTTAGGTGGAATCGTTAAGAGGTTGGATGGAACTGTCGTCGGTGTTAAGCATGCCGGATGAATTGCTTTACCGCATATTCGGTAACACCTACCGTATCTGTCTTATCATCCTATGTTATTGTTGAGTGTACTCCTTCAACTTATTTGTTATAGCCAACAGACTTTGTCATAGTACCTCGTAGATATTGGATCTCGACTCTTATGTGTAGCATGTAGATCTTCGAATTCCTTTCGTTGTGCCTCATCAACAACATG